ATCAGCCAATAATCATCAATCATCATCAATCATCATCAAGAATAATCAAGAATAATCAACAATCACCAATCATCATCAACCATCATCAACAATTATCAATAATCATCAACAATCATCAACAATCATCAACAATCATCAATAACCATCCATCATCATCAATAATCATCAACAATCATCAATCATCATCAATCATCATCAACAATCATCAACAATCATCAATACTAATCAATCATCATCAATCATCATCAATCATCATCGACAATCATCGACAATCATCAATGGTGACGACTCTTTTGACTGAGTTGGCCGTGCCCAAGCCGATGACGACAGCCCCACTTGCATTGAGCCTCTCCCATGAAATCCCAATATCAAAAATGGTAACAAGCTTGAGGGTAACCAACTTTCCCCTACATCAATTCAATGATTATTGAATATTATACAATATTATGTCGTTGTATCGAATGGGTATAATATACAATAATATTGTATATTATTCAATGGGTAATATCATCTATTACATCATATCGCCAGAATATGCCCATTATACTCCAGTTGTTGTTAAGTTCCCAGCTGCTATCCATTGATTATCCGTTGTATCCCGATATGCTATCCATTGATCATCCGTGATATCCCCATAATATGCCCACTATACTCCAATGTGTGTTGCTTAAATCACCACATTGGTTGGTTAAATCACTACTTTGGTTGGTTAAGTCACCATTTTGGTTGGTTAAATCACAATTTTGCCTTCCAATTTGCCAACTGACCACTGGCCGGGTCTCACAACGGCCGGCCGGGTTTTTCTGTGGTCAGGAGGTCTTAGAGCTGGAGAAGTTCAGATCTAAGGCCGCCAGCGAGGCGCCAACTGGGCATAAGCAGATCATGAAATGGTGGGTTTTCTCCATTGGAAATGCTGATTTCCATTGGAAATATCATGAAATATGTGGTATATATAACTATATATGGTATATATGGTATTTCATGGTAAATATTTTATGGAAATATAAAAATATTCTATAATATATGGTATAAAGAACTATATATAATATTCTTTGTACGGTAACGATGAAACGAAGCAACTGATGATGTGTTTGCTTCATGATATGATCCAATGAAACTGGTGGTTTAACATTCAACATTGTGGCTTAATGGGATATTATTGGGGATACTGCAATGGGATATTTGACTAACTATCTCCAATTTGGGTGTGTCTGAACATGGGTTTTACCCCAAGATGGCAATTTTAGTGGGAAATATGATAAACATTGATAAACCATGGGACTTTGGTGGGATCCTATTCTCAGACACAGACACACACCATATAGTGATTGATTCAATTTTGATAAGTTCAATGGTTTCCCCGATTTCCGGAAATACTCTGATGCCTGGACCCATAGTGGGAAAAACACATAAGATCTTTAGTAAATCTCTGACATGATCATAAGAAGTTCACATGGAAAAGTTCTGATTCAAAGATGACTTTTCCCAGCTATTTTTTTTTAAATAGGGGATTTCCCAGCTAGCCATGTTTGAGGACACTGGAGGGTAATTGATCAATATTCCATGAATATTCCATCAATATTCCATCAATATTCCATCAATATTTTATCAATATTCCATCAATATTCCATGAGTATTCCACTAATATCCCCGATATTTCACTAATATCCCCATTATCTACCATTTTTGTATCACTTATCTTCCAGATTTTGGGTAGTTCACATCCCTGGTGCCGAAGGCGCAAGCGGTGTGGGTGCCACGTGTCGCCGAAGCCGTAGAGGACCGGAGGATCATGTGACCAGGGGAAGTGGTTGGGAATGAAAAGGTGATAAAAACTATAGAAAATGGTGGTTTAATGGTGGAGATTATATATGATAGGTATAAATGATAGGTATAAATTATGATTATATATATATATATAGATATTGTATAGTTCTAGTTTCTCAAATTGTGATGTTTGGAACCCCCTCCAAATCGCTGGTTTCTCCATTGAAAAATGTGGAGTTGTTGAGATATAGTGGAGATATATTGTGGTACGACCAGCCAACAATATTTTATGATATTTGGGTTTGATTGAAAATTGGGGCCCTTCCCCCCAAGTGGACATCTTAATTTCTGAAAATAAAAATTAAACATAAGACTTAGGGGTATCCGATTTTCAGACAAACCAAAGTGAATGCAATAAATCATGTGCGTTTACTGCAGTTTTCTGTGGCAACTTGGTGGGTGATTTTTTTGTCCATTGAAAACAATGACATTGACTATATAGCTAGAATATGTAGATTACTAGCGGTTACTAGCCATGTGAAACTTGATATAGCATCTGGTTATTTAACATAGCCATGGAAAATCCCAACCATAAATGCAGGTTTCTAGCTGGGAAAATCATCTATAAATGGGCCATCTATACCATGGCTATGTTAAATAACCAGAAGGTAGCAACGATTTTTTCTGCGCCGTTGTGTGTCTGCAACTGTGGGACCCACGACATCTTCTAAGGTATGGTTGGGACCATCTGTCACAGCTAGCAATGCCCAGTTGTGCGATCAGTTGTGCGAAAAGAACATGGTAATTGGATGTAATTGGTAATTCCCAAATAAAAATGCTAAAGATTCCTAAACTTGACCAACATATGTGCCACCTGTATCTTCAATTTTGAACCGCTGCCATGAACTGTCATGTGGTTCAAACAAAGGGCACGAGTATCGAAGCAACCCTAATTTCGTAAACATTTGGTATTCAATCAGTGCTTCAAGTTGAGGTGAAGTAATTTTGTGGAGGTTTCCTAAAATAGGAATATTCCGGGTATTCCCAAATCATCCATTTCAATAGGGTTTTCCATGAGACCATCCAGCTATTGGGGTATCCCTATGGCTATGGAAACCTCCATATTTACCATCTGGTTATTTAACATAGCCATGGAAAATCCCTTTTAAATTGAGGTTTCTAGCTGTGAAAATCATCTATTTCTATGGGCCATCTATACATATCTATACCATGGCTATGTTAGTCATAACCAGAGGGTAGTTGCTGGCATCAATATTCCTCCAGATGACTTGATCAAGGCTTAGCTTATTGCTGTCCCTTGAAAGCCAGTTTGCTGCCCACGTGACTCGCTACCTTGAAGGGTTTGCTTCTACGGAACAGCAACATAGGCGGAGTCACCAAAAAGGGCACTTGCTGACGACCTGAAAAATCCCGGAAATTCAATGAAATTCATGGGTTTCTCATAGTTTATCCTTCGATTAATGGTCCAAAATCATCCAAATCGGTGTGTTCTTTGACTCTCCAAGAGTGTGACCATCCGATTTTTTCAATATTTTTCTTGGTGGTACCATGAGGGACATCATGCCAGGAGATGACAAGACCAGTGGAACCACCACCAGGCGGTTTTTGGACATGGGCTATTCTCCAAACTGGCAAGATTAATAAGAAAATCATCATAAACCATGGGAGTTTACATTTGTTTATGATAAGTTTCCTATAGTTTGTGATGATCTTCCTATATGAACATGGCATAATACATGATCATATAGTTTACTTTAGCCGTACCCATTTGCCCAGTTGTTTTTGAATAGATCATGCTATGATCGTCCTACAAGATTGATCTTTTCACCGCTACAACTATATAGTAGATATGAACATTCATAACGCCATCCATTCCCCTCAATGGACTGATCTATTTTTCCTTTTACATAATTGTGATACATAAGACATAAGTCAACACAAGTCATGTTTTTTCGTTTTACATGGCTATGATATAAGTCAACTAATTCCATACGTTTCCATACCATGTTCCCATTAAAAAAGGTTGAATCTTCCTGGCCAGGCTGCAAAGAGGGCTGGCCCTGGGAGGTGAAGCTGGATCTTTGGTTTGTGAGCACAGATCCGGGATCGGTCACAAACATGGTGGATTTTTAACCAGCCAAAAATGGTGATTTCTCCAGCAAAAACCGTGATTTAACCGAGGAAAATGGAGATTTCAACCGACAAAACTGGTTTGCTTCGGAAACCAACTCAATTCTATTGCCATCATTTGACCAGCTCTCCCAATGTCATGGGTGTCTTTGGCGAAGTTTGTTTAGCATTTTTCCATGGATGATTTACAACCCACCTGGGTTCTTCATCTAAAACCTTCATCATATACTGTGAAACCATAGTAAATTTTGGTTGATTACGGGAGGTTACCCCCCAAAAAAAGGTGATCATCTGGTACTAAAATGGCACCAATTCAACAGCCATGACTCCGGATTTCATCACCAAGTTACCGAAGTCCCGAGGTCCGCACCAAAATCGAAGCCTCGCAACGGAACTGCGGGAAAAGGTGACAGCGGTGATGGGAAAGGATGGGAAAGGTGTAGAATTTCTGAGAAATTTGGTGGCTAATCCTATCATGTCTTATCCATATCATCCATCCGTTGTACTGTATGACTATATATATATAAATATGTATATGTATACATTATGTATATGTATACATTATGTAGTATTTGTGCGGGTCTTTCACTATATGATGTACAGGATCCACTCAGAGCTATTTTTCATGGGATGTCGGTTGGGGATTTTTCTGGATATGTATGTTCTTTCCATTTCCTTGACGGAGACACCTGGGGACCTCTCGTAAGAAAAAACAGCTGTCCCCTTCAAAGGACTGAACAATCATGGTTAATAAGGGAAATCATCCCCAATGGCCTTAATTCAGGTTAGTGAAATAACATAATTTACCCAGAACAATGCTTTAGACTTGCTTAAGACGTTGCTTGGGATGTACTTTGTCAGAGAGAGCTTGCTTTTTCCTCCCCGTGGGCTGTGGTGTTTGCTGTGCTGGATTCCTATTCTTCAAAACGGGAATTCGATCCTGTTCCTTGAACCATCAGAATCACAAATCAATAGGTTCCCTATGGTTTCCTATGGTTCCCTATCAATCTTCTCCATCCTGAAAGTATAACAGGTATATTTCCAATGAACATGTCCCAAGACTCGCAGCCAGCCAGTTCTGCAGCTGTTTCAGGGGCCCAGTCGTTGTTCGACCGGAGGAAACACGGACGAGGGCCGAGAACTGGGCTCGCCAGGTGAGGTGAGGCTTGGGATGTGCTGGGGAGGTTGCAACTGACATTTTTGGTTGGGATTTTGTACATCCAAGAAAACAAAATGTTGGGATAATTTGTTGGGATAATTTGTTATTTTTTGGATGATAAATCAACAACATCCCAACTATATGTGTTTATCATCCCTAAATGATCCATCGGTTACATGATTAGTCAACACTTGCCACTTGTTTTTGTTGTATATTCTGAATGATTCATGACTTTTCCAACCATCAGTATTTTAATTGGAACCTTGCATGGATACGTGCTGCGGTGGGGAGTCATAAATTATGACTCCCATCCCACTGATTTCTGAGTCCGTAGAGTCCAGAGTTTATTGAGCTTACCACATTACTGAACTTCATGAAGTAAGCATGACCAAGTAGATTGTAACTAATTTATAACTTCCATCCCATGAAATACTGTCTGGTTGATAGAATATCCCGTAAATTGTGGGTTATGACTTATGTCATTTGTTTAACCCCCTAAAAAAATCATCAACACGGGATACATTCATTGGGTTTCATGAATTCAATGTGGTAAATCCAATTAATGTCAACCCCGGATGAGACTAAACCATGGTTTATGAAAATTTGGGGGGTATTCCCCCAAGAGTCATTTCATCTGATACTTACTTTTTTTATGGTACCTTCCCAATGAAAAATAGCCGTAAACGGGGTTTATTCATCCAGGGTTGACATCCAATGACTCTGGACTCGAAGAGGCTCCGTTCCTTCGGGGCCTTGTGAGGCGCCATGTCGCGGCACTCGAAGCATTCCAATGATCGGATGTTCTTCACCGCCAAAGAGCGTGCCGATGCGGGCTATTCCAAGACCCGCAAGGACCGATGGGAAAAAACCATGGGTGGTTTATAGATAGAAAGCTTACCGCTTCCTGTTTTTTTCGGAGAGGTTTATAAAGGGGATGGATTTTCTTGACCAGTAATTGGAAATCTCTGATATGTTTGGTATATATATATACTGGAAAAATATCTGAGATTATCTGAGTTTCTGTGACTGGATTCCCACCAATGAATTGATTTGTGACACTATTTTGTTTTGTTGAACTTAAGATAACTGAAGCCACTGTTTTGCTGATTTGGGGATTGTGAGGCTTGTTTCAAGTCAGTCGCAACAATTTGATAGATGACCGGACAACCAGTGTTTGGGTATGCAATCAGTAGGGGGGTTTGCCTGGGATCAAGACCAGTGGATTGGCCTTTCTTATCATGTCTCATTTCTGCAAAATCTTCGCTGAGCTTCGAGTTCTCATTTTTCTGGTTGGTGCTTTGTTTTTGTTTTTTTAATTTCCCATTTAATATATGGATGTCATCCTTCCCATTGACTCATATGTTTCAGAGGGATAGGTAGGTCAACCACCAACCAGTGAGTGGCAGCAGCGGCAGGAAGTCATGGGCACGGATTGCTTCCTTCCCTTTGGCTTCTGCGGCCTTTCCCTCAAAGCTCCCAAGGACGCGCCTTAAGTTGGGCGAACTCGGGAGGAAGTTGGACATGTCTGGGGACATGGGAAAACCCATGAAATGCGATAGTTTTATTGGGGAAAGTCACGGAAAATATGGGAAAATTATGATGAACATTGATGAAGCCTCAAATTGTGGGGTGCGGCAACCCTTGGGAGCCGGATTTTGGCATTTGGTTGGCCCGGCAGCCGGCTACTATCAAGGGCTAGTATGGAAATGAGCCCAAACGGCCCTTTGGGCCAAATCGTGGCCAACATTCCAGAGACACTATGACATTTTTCTAATTGCCCAGTGGGGTTTCCTGTCCTTAGCTCAAACCATGAAGATCCAGACGAAAGCTGGTACGTGGAAGGGATACCCACGTTCAGACCCAAATGAGATGTAGTATGATGTAGCTGTTTATATATTCCATTCCATCCCCATTAATATCATCCATTCAATCCTCCATGATGCTTAGATCATGATTGTTTATTAGATCACAACCACGACAAGTTGCTTTCTCTCTGGTAAACGAACAGTTCGCGAACTGGAACATGGCCCTTTAGTTCGTTGATTTACCCATGAAAATGGTGGATTTTCATAGTTATATCCCCTGACATTCCCATAAAATTCCAACTTCCAATGGTTAAATCCACATCTTTTCTTCGGCAGCCAGGATCCCGTTGCTACGTGAGGAGTTCTCAGAGCGGAGCCAGAAAACACGTGGTTTCTGCAGTGGAACCCATGCATCATATGGATACCATAAACATATGAATGGGGATTTAGTATACTGAAGTTGGGTGAAGATAATGCGATATAATGGATGATACCCTTTGGTTATTTAACATAGATATGGAAAATCACCATTGTTCATGGCTAAATATGGGTAGTAAATCAACGATTATATCAACCATTTTCCATAGCTATGTTGAATACCGGAGGGCCGGAATCTGAGTGAATACCGGAAACAAACGAGCAGTGTGATGGACCGTTTTCCCGCCTGATGTTTGGTGTGTGGGGGTGGCTTCCGTAGACACACACTGCCAAAGATAGGGATGTTACCAATCAAAAGGAAAATGCATTTTTTAGGGATCATTTAGACTACAAAAACAAGTGACAAAACAACCCATGAAAGACCACAAGATAGAAACAGTTAGAAACATATGTTCATTTTAACCAGAGGCATACAGATAGTGGATAGACGGGGAGACCTGCACCTGACAATATTTTCCATTGCTGGGGAATGTGATCCCACCTGATAAGAAAAAGGCTTCAAACGAGGGTTGCAACATGTTGCAACCACCAAGCAACTGTCAGGCAAAGGATAGATGATATGAGTACATCATCCTAAAAAACATATCGGTTCTCGGACTTGAATCGTCTTTGGTACACCAACCGGGAGTTTTGATTTGGGCACTGCATGGTTCGCTCCCTGGCCTGAACTGAGGCCGGATGGGAACATCTTTGACAGGGAAGCCATCTTGGAATCTTTGCAGCAAATGGCCGGATGGGAACTGTCCGCGTTGACGAAAATGGGGGATACCCCCAACTCCTGGTAATTTTCAGAGGGCTCATCAAGGGCTCATCATGACCAGAGGATTTAGGGGTGTGTTTTCGAGGAACCCAGTTTTCGAGCCTCAGTTTCCAAGGCTCGTGTTTCCCTTTTGTCAAAGGATGTCAAAGGAAGGCATGGAACGATTTCGCATTCGAGGAAAACTCAATTTCATGAGAGACACGCATGTTCCACCTGATTTTCTTCCAATCTTGTTGTTTTGCCATGGTTTTTTTCCCTCTAAACCTGGGGTATCCCAACATGGCCATTGGCGAAAGATGTTCGAGAAACCATGGGGATCTCCACAATTTTGAGCCAGCATTGCTGTTTGGCTTGCTGCCACCTGCTACATCAGAAGTCCGAGATCACGTCATGATTGAAGCAGTGATTTAAGATTCATGTGGCAAACTGCTGCCATGAACGCATCAACTTTATGGAATTCAAACCTTCAAAAAGTGATGTTCGATCACACATAAAACATCATAAAGCCTTGAACATAGCGACCTATATTTCTTTGCATCCGGCCAAGTTTTGACGTGCTCTGAAAGCCATGGCGGAGCAACTTAAGACGCTATTGGACTTCCTCTTGTTTCCCAACAACGAACACTTCCGAGACATGCGTGATTCCTTCCTATCCAGTAGGTTCTTATTCGTGATTCTGGGTGCTGTAGGGGCAAAGGTAGGGAAGGGACTGCTTGCTCCATGTTCCGCAGAGCATCCTCCGGAAGAGTTTTTGAAGAAGCCATGGAACTGCCTCACAGAAGTCGAAAAAGACAAGGTCGAGAATCAACCCTTCAAATATCTATGTTTGCGACACAAAATTGGTGCTGTGCACTGGGGGATTCTGCATGTCCTGATTCGTTTGGTGTGTATCCATGTGTTGCCTTGCATCCTGGTGCTCTACTGGGGCTGGCTCGAGGATGATGGATCCACCGAGATGCTTCGGAATTCTTTCATGGAACTTTACGCCCTCTACCTGATCAGCACCGTCGTGATCTTTTTCAAACTGCTCTGCACCGATCGCCTTCTTTTTGCAAGATGGTTCCTCCTGCCAGCGGAGCTTTTTTCAGATAGCGCCGGGTCCCTGAAAAGTCTCTGGGCTCAAGAGCCCTGCGTTGGCTGGTGGACCTGGTTGGCTACGATATGGTTCTGGGGAACTTTCGGCATGGAGATGATGGTGGGGAGCTTTGTTTGGGTGTTCAAACTGAAGTTCAAACCTGCAAATCCAAAGATGCCAAACAGCACTCTCGCCCCCTTGACCCTCTTTGCTTTGATAATTTATCAGACCCTTCTCGCTGGGTACTGCTCCGTGAAGATCATGTCAGTGCCTTCAGGCAGCGGCTCCACTCTTCCGTTTTGGTGGTGTGCCGGAGCCTTCCTGGGTTGGACCAGCTTCTTAGGATTTGTGTCATTTTGTGCGATGCTCTTAAGGTTACACCGTCCTGATTAGTACCTAGGGTCGCTATTGTGGCAATTTTTTCCAAATTATTCTGAAACTCATGTATTGTTTGGAGGGTTCGCTTTTGTGGCAAAACAAAATTGGGAGAGCCATTTTTTTTGCAAAAAAAACTGTAATTGCTGAGAGGCATTTTTTTTCTCAAAAACGTTGTAGCTCAGTCAAGGTAGGTTTGTTTGCTGGGCTCACTATTGCAGCAAGCTGTGCCAGAGCAGCTCCTGGAAGCCCAGAAGGGAAGCAAGCCTTTTCCAAAATTGCCAAATTCAAACTCCAAGCCTTTCCCAAAGGAGCCAATCCCTTATTAAAACCCTTATTAAAGAACAGCTTTTCCACAATTTTCCAAGGCCCTGGACCAGGAGAGGCTCCATTTCACTTTAGTAGGTTTGTTTGCTGGGTTCACTATTGCAGCAAGCTGTGCCAGAGCAGCCCTTGGAAGCCCAGAAGGGAAGCAAGCCTTTTCCAAAATTGCCAAATTCAAACTCCAAGCCTTTCCCAAAAGAACCAATCCCTTCTTAAACCCTTATTAAAGAACAGCTTTTCCACAAGTTTCCAAGGCCCTGGACCAGGAGAGGCTCCATTTCACTTTAGTAGGTTTGTCTGCTGGGTTCACTATTGCAGCAAGCTGTGCCAGAGCAGCCCCTGGAAGCCCAGAAGGGAAGCAAGCCTTTTCCAAAATTGCCAAATTCAAACCCCAAGCCTTTCCCAAAAGAACCAATCCCTTATTAAACCCTTATTAAAGAACAGCATTTCCACAATTTTCCAAGGCCCTGGACCAGGAGAGGTTCCATTTCGCTTTAGTAGGTTTGTTTGCTGTGTTCACTATTGCAGCAAGCTGTGCCAGAGCAGCCCCTGGAAGCCCAGAAGGGAAGCAAGCCTTTTCCAAAATTGCAAAATTCAAACTCCAAGCCTTTCCCATAAGAACCAATCCCTTATTAAACCCTTATTAAAGAACACCTTTTCCACAATTTTCCAAGGTCCTGGACCAGGAGAGGCTCCATTTCACTTTAGTAGGTTTGTTTGCTGGGTTCACTATTGCAGCAAGCTGTGCCAGAGCAGCCCCTGGAAACCCAGAAGGGAATTGCCAAATTCAAACTCCAAGCCTTTCCCAAAAGAACCAATCCCTTATTAAACCCTTATTAAAGAACAGCTTTTCCACAATTTTCCAAGGCCCTTGACCAGGAGAGGCTCCATTTCACTTTAGTAGGTTTGTTTGCTGGGTTCACTATTGCAGCAAGCTGTGCCAGAGCAGCCCCTGGAAGCCCAGAAGGGAAGCAAGCCTTTTCCAAAGGCAATTGCCAAATTCAAACTCCAAGCCTTTCCCAAAAGAACCAATCCCTTATTAAACCCTTATTAAAGAACAGCTTTTCCACAATTTTCCAAGGCCCTGGAACAGGAGAGGCTCCATTTCACTTAGTAGGTTTGTTTGCTGGGTTCACTATTGCAGCAAGCTGTGCCAGAGCAGCCCCTGGAAGCCCAGAAGGGAAGCAAGCCTTTTCCAAAATTGCCAAATTCAAACCCCAAGCCTTTCCCAAAAGAACCAATCCCTTATTAAACCCTTATTAAAGAACAGCATTTCCACAATTTTCCAAGGCCCTGGACCAGGAGAGGTTCCATTTCGCTTTAGTAGGTTTGTTTGCTGTGTTCACTATTGCAGCAAGCTGTGCCAGAGCAGCCCCTGGAAGCCCAGAAGGGAAGCAAGCTTTTTCCAAAGGCAATTGCCAAATTCAGACCCCAAGCCTTTCCCAAAGGAGCCAATCCCTTATTAAAGCCTTATTAAAGAAAAGCTTTTCCACAAGTACTACAAGTACTACAAGTACTGCAAGTACTACAAGTACTACAAGTACTACAAGTACTACAAATACCACAACTTCATCGGCAAAAAAACAATAGTAATTAGATTTCAATTGTAGCCAATTGAAATCCTTACTTAATTGAGGATATGTTTTTCTTTTGGGAAGACAATTTTTGCTTTTCTACTTTAAAGAGAGTCCAGATATAGTTTAGGGAGGGGGGGGGAGGGGGGGGGGCCACACACTAATCAGGAACCAACATTAATGTATGCGCTCTGAACTCGTTTGAACCCTTTGACGATACCCAGTCCTGCCAAAACAGAAAAAAAATCGTTGCTTTGCCTTTTACTTTGCGCCAACTGACTTCCGAAGATCGAATTCCCAGCTGCATTGCGCCCTGATCTCCCAGGAATGTTTGCTGCAACAAAAGCTGGAAATCCAGGTGCAGAACGCTGCTATGGAAAATCCATCATGGATGTGGGTATGATTTCCAAACAGGAAACCAGGAAAACCCATGGATTTCAACAGTTGTTTAATGTTTTTTGTTGAAATCCATCAGAGCATTTGATGGGTTTTAACTCATCCCCATGTGATACTTGGGAAATCTTGGGAATCTTAGAAGAACATATATGGCGTTATGTTTTACACCGCCAGCATATAGTGTTTCTTGGAAAAAACAATGATAATAACAATAAGAAGAGACGCAATGATAACGATAATGATATTTTGGTATCTACAATAATGATAATATTATTTTGTGATGATAACATCGATGATGATCATACTGATAATTATGATATGACATATACAAGTATACATGATCATGCAATTAAGATGTGGTAAATTCAATCATCAACCAAACCTAGTTGTACCAGTTGTTCAAAGTTTGGTGACAATTTCTCTGGTTTCCTCCAAGCTTAGATGCTGGATCTGGTTTCGGTGGGTGAATCCCCGAAGAAAATTTCCATGTTTCGAAGATGTTCGAAGCGTCCCAGGGAACTCACCACGAATGCAGGTGTCTTGGGGATCATCTGAGATCATCCAGCTTGGCAGTCCAACTGAGATCATCTGAGATCCTATAGATATAATTTATGTATATTTATATTTATGTATTGTTCATTTTTTTTTCAGTATTCGCCCCTATTTGGGATGTCGTAGCCAAAAAAGATCCATTTATCATACTGTATTTGTGACCATTTAATTTGTGTGTTTTCCCCTTGTTGGGTAGAAGCATTGTACCTCCAGAAGGGGTTTGTCATACAAAAGGGTAATGTCTACTGGTCAAGTGTAGTTTTATCGTTGAAATCGCCATTGCAGTCGGTCAATAAAACATCATATAGCAGTATCTATCTCCACATCTTCATATATAGTATATACATAATATAATATATAATATATAATATATATAATATATAATATATAATATATATAATATATATATAGATATGGTCGCCTAAATTAAAAACCCTATATCTGATTTTTGATTTTGGACGAAAACACCAATACCAACAGTCCCGGATTGCAGGCGCAGCAAAAGAAATTTGACGAACAGGTGGGGTCACTGGTTGCATCTCCCCACTCCGCAAACAAATCGTGGGCGTTTGGATATGGTTTTTGTTTGGGCCAAAACATTGATCAATGGTGATTTCTGGAACCGATTTCTTTGGAGGTAGGTTTACATATATACGGCCTAAGCAAGGGCTATGTAAGGGAATGTCCCCACAAAATCTGGCCTTAAAATCTGGCCTTATATGCTTCAGTGCCTCCATTTTAGGGTCCTGAAATTCCCTCGGAATTGATTTCTGAGAATATTTTCAACGCATTCTCACTGAGTCTGTCTTGTTTCTTTGTGTACATAAGAAGGTTATGCCACATGGGAAGCCGAAGCCACAGGTTGGGTTCCAATTAATGTTCCAATCGTCCAAGGTGTCGAAAAATGAATCCTGGGTTTCCATGGGATGACATATTGATGTGTCATGGTAGATAATTAATGTAGATACTACATTTTAATGGACCTGATTATTAATGTAGATACTATACCTGAAATACTTGGTTTCTAGATATACATCTAAATACCATTGCTTAAATAAGTAGAAACTCACCATAATTGTTCATCCGCAGTGAATAGAGACCAAACCAACAGCATGTCCCATTGTTCGGTGTATTTCCCATGGACCAAGTCGAAGTGAGGAGCGAAAGAAGGAGCAAAGACTAAAAGCTTTGGACCAGGAGGTGTCCATGGGTCATGTTGAGATTAGATATGTTTAGTACATAAAACACCCATATCTTTGAACGGGGTTGATGTTGAAACCTCTTCTTGTACAGAAAAGTGGAACGATTTGTATTTGTTGATAGTAAGTTATCTATTGATTTGAAACTTGGGGCACCCTGTTTAGCCCTAGGCCCTATTAAATTTACTGCGCATACGTCGTAACTTTTATGTTTTCATACATGTGCAGGTTGCCTAACTTACCAAAAAAAAAGGTATGCCCAACATCCCAACATGCTGATCCAAACATGTAGTGACAAAAAGTGACAGGCTTTGGATTTTTTTTTCTTGGATGATAAGTTTGATTATATTCATTCCCCTGGTATTCTCACAATTACTATTTCTGGTTTGGTCCTTGCATTTTTTTCAGTTTTGTTGTTTTCTGGTGATGTCCTCACACTTACTCTATCTGCAGTTTTGCCCATGAAAATCCGATCTGTGTCTCATATTTCTTGGTTTTCTACCTTGTATTTGTAGATGAGATCCCTCAGACATAGCCTCCGCGAACAGTGGGCAATTCTTGGTTGGTTGTTGTTGGTAGTGGATAGCCCCATCAATAAGAGATGATAGTTACTCTGATTGGTGGTTTGGAACATTTTTTATTTTTCCATTCAGTTGGGAAGAATAACATCCCAACTGACTTTCATATTTTTCAGAGGGGTAGGTATACCACCAACCAGATCTTATAACCTCATTTAAACTCATTGAAATGTCATTTACTGCAAGTGATATGTTTCACCTTAGTTGCAGGAAAAATCATCCCATTTCTACCTGTTTTCATGGCCCCATACCGGGGAGTTTGTTCGCCGCGGAGCAGGATGAACTCCGACAACTGGAGGAGTTCACACGCGCGGAGCAAGGTCTGCTGTCACAGGAGCGGCGGTTTCGGTTTCGCGTACCCTGGTTGAACAAGGTCAAAGGATCCCCCGAAATCGTAACTTAACACAACAATACCAATCAGACATGGTAATCAATGGTCATTTTATATGTTATATATGTTACATAGTTTAATTTTCACGTGATTTATATAACGATCTAAAATGGGAATAATATGACATATTATGGAAAGATCGGTACTTAATAGGGACTTTTTTTGAATACTCAAATGGTTCAATGACTTGGATGTTAATTGGGGGTAGCTGAATTTTAGGACCACCCAAATGGTTCTTTTACATGAGTTAATCATCTAATATCGAGATATTATGGAAATATAATGATTATACATAACCAATGATGATCTGGTTGGTGGTTTCAACAAGTTTGTTTGTTCAACCATTTTTCGATATCATGATGCCCAACGTGACATATATACAATATTATACGATATGAAAAATATTGTTTCAGATGTGTGGCCTACCCACCAATCAGGTGCATAGCTGCTTGAAAGATCACCTGTTTCAGATGGAGTCTTGTTGGTTCCCAAGCTGAACATCTGGCTGGCACGACTTACAGGACCTGAGACATAAGAGAGCGCTAGAGCAAGCGGAAAGCAAAGGTTCGGATGGCGGGTTCGGATGCCTGGGCAATGCTGGAAATAGATATGGAGGATTCCATAAATGTGGGTACCCAAAATAGATGGTTTATATAGAAGGAAAATCCCACTAACATGGATGATTTATTAGGGATGCCCCCATTTCAGGAAACCTCCAAATGGAAATTACATGCTGGGGACATCTGAACATATCTGACATCTTTAGGGAAGACCAAAAATGAATGCAGTTATAAAGATGTGTAAAGATTGAAATCATAATGATCGAGTTGGACATGGACCAAGGGAAGCAGAATGGCAGTCCTGGGTTCATAAAAGGTGGTGGATTGATGGTGGTGGAAATGACCCAAAGATGGTTCAAATCACTGGTAAAATGACCTTGTCATTTTTTCCATAGTAATTTCATAGTATTTGGATGGTGGCTTCAAGAATCAGTCTGCTGAAGCTGGTTCATAATTCTTGGTCACTTCAAAGTGAAGTCATAGAGGTATAAACCGGCAACGGGGGCATTATAATGGGCATTACACGGCCATCCACATGTCTTTTGGTTCGGATGTTTTCTTCCCTATTTTGGATGACCTAAGTGACAAGCTCAGGGCTGCGATCACCGATCGGTAATCATTCGCCAGTGTCATGGTAGCCATGAAATAGCCATATAGCCATGACTCATTCGTAGATGATTTAGCTATTTGATGCCATGAAATATCAATGGGAATGTCAGGATCCTAAAGTGGAGGTACTGTACCATATAAGGCCATATTTTGTGGAGATATTCCCTTACATAGCCCTTACATAGGCCTTATATATGGTAGGTACCTCCAATTTAGGTTCCTGAAATGGCCATTGAAAATATGACCATTTTCCACAGCTATTTTGAATTACCAACGGCCAAGATATATCAAGATCCAATTGATGGTCTGAAGACCACGGAGATTGGATCATGATCAGGATCTGGTGTAGATCTTGAGGTCAGACTTTTAGAACTTTCAAGAACCCCTTCAGCAAGTTTATTTGACAATGATACAATGGACAACTGGTTGGTGGTTTGGAACATGGCTTTAATTTTTCCATTCAGTTGGGAAGAATAACATCCCAACTGACGAACTCATATTTTTCAGAGGGGTAAGTATACCACCAACCAGACAATGTTGACCCTGAATTGGGAATGATATGAAATTATTTATATCTCCTAAGTTCGTGAGGTCGATCATCAACCAAGTTTTCTCACAAATTCTGGATGTGTTTCCCTCCAAAAAAGGATAAAAAAGGGTATTTCTCATTGCCACCGGGTAAGATTCATGGAGGATGTGAAACTTGACCATTGAACCCAGCTCCAAGCAACCAGCTGGGCTCATGCCGTGCCGAGGCCCGAAAAGAAGCTCAGAAAAGGTGAGCTGCTGAAAGTGGACAAAAGCGAGTTGCACCTTGGCTGATGGGAGCTGATTGCGGTTTTGAAGACCTGGAAGTTAGATGTGTGTTAAATATGGAAGTGGTTTCCCCAGTGACCTTCAAGATATCTAGTTTGGCAGGAAAGTGATCGATGTTCGGGCACAGATCCACGAGTTGTCGGTTTAGTTTGCATGAGCCATCCTTGATTTTCATTCAACCCACTGTTCCTGATGCCTACAGCTTGCTGGTTTCAGAAATTTCTCAGGTTTCACGAGTTTCCATCCCGGGATGGAAACCGTAAGCCTCCACTGGGATCATTTTAAAGGGTGGAGCACCATCCTGTGGGGCTACCCATCATTTAACCATCATCGTCAGAAGATGTAATATATATATATATGTATCCGTATTGGGTTGATGGCCATCAATTCATTTTTACTTTTGAGTAGGTTATATATATATACTATAAAACTATGGTTATATATGGTTTTATATGGTTTTAGTAGTTATTAATGGTTATATTTTATATGTTTTTTTTCGTAGTTTACACACCAGATACCTAGTAATACTATGTTGGCATTCTCATGGCCTCATGGCATGGGATGGATCCATTCACAGACGTCCCAGGAGAGCGAAAAGTTTCTGGACCAAGGACGTTTTTCACCGATGCGAAGGGTGGGATGTCTGGTGACTTTAATGGGATTTCACCATCTAAGATAGGAATTGATAATGATATGATGGAGACTTTAAAAGTGGTTGGTAACCATTAACCAATGGGATATTGAGGGATATTAATGGTTCATGATGGTTAATAGTGGTTAATAATGGTTAGTGAGACAACTGGTTGGTGGTTTGGAACATGAATTTTATGACTTTCCATATATCTGGAACTTTGTTATCCCATTTGACGAACTCATATTTTTCAGAGGGGTAGGTATACCACCAACCAATATAATTGGGATATGATTAATAATGATGATAATGGTCTAAAATGGGGCTTGAATCATCTATCACGGGGATATCATGGATAACCAATGATCTGATCTGGTGTTGAACAGTTGTTTTTACTGTTCAACCGTAGACAGTAGACATGGGATGATGATCCCCAATGATGAGCGTACTTTTTGCAGGGGCTTGAACCATGTTGAAGACACGCGCCAGATGATGTAACCATGACACATTGCATTGTCTGCTGGAAGCATGTGAGTATGCAGCATAAACACAGGCAGAAACAAATGGGCAACAACGCACCAGCAATGACTGACAACTATGCGTGTGTCAGATATCCAAAGCAATTTCTAGGCCCTAGAAATTCTAGGATTCTGGCTGCATTATCCCCCTGATGCTCACAACCCAACAACCATTGAACTGCTGAGCTTTCCATGAGCAACTCGATGACGATGTCTTGCTGTGGCACCTGTGCAAGTGTTGTTGCACCTGAACCGGGACGAGCCATGGAAAATGGTCCACAATGTGGATGGTTCACCATCTGGTTATGACTAACATAGCTATGGAAAATGGGCCATTTATAGTTGATTCACCCATTCAACATGGTGATTTCCAGTTCGCTATGTTAAGATACCAGAGGGTACCTATCAAAAATAGTGATCTCCCATAGCTATGTTGAATTACCAGAGGGTGATCGGTTTGAGTATCATTGTGATACAACATCAGGGTCCCATCAAAAGATGTAAATATATAAAAACATATTATGAATTCCAAAGCATGCCTCTGCAGGAGAGCAAATTCTTCGGCATCGAAAGTGACTGCGAAGGGACCTGATAGCAGCTCTGCCAGGAGGCCGTCAGCGGGACGTCTACCAAGAAGCCTGGCGCATGGCAGTCACTTTGGCTCCAATGCATCGGATGACGAGAAGAAATCGCTGGCAGATGCTGGAGAAGCTACTGACCACTGACAAACAGAATTATGAATCAGAGAGGGTACCAACCGCTGCTATATTATTTATGGTATGGGGTCTGAGTATAGGTTCCAACCATCACTATTGGATTATCACCACTAACGACCACTAATTATGAATCACCAAAATTAAGGCAATCACTAGAAGTCAATTAGATTAGTGATGATGTTCATGTAATTTTTTAGATTGATGATGACTGCGTGATTATCAATTATAAGTTATCATGGCCTATCGTGGGGTACCATTTTTTTGTGGTGTCTCCAACCGCAGGAGTTCACTCCAACCGCAGCCCCAACGGAGATCAAGAAGGCTTCCAAAATTCGATTCGAACGCTTGGGATGGAAAAAAACATGAGAAAAGAATGGGAAAATCCCTATAACGTGCGGCCCTCCAGATAATCAGATACTCAAGTTTGATTGATCACTAGGTCAACTATTGTTCATGTTGGATATATCGAATTAATGAATTAGTTATACACTGGGTTCATAAACATAACTTGGTGGGGCCACCTTGTAAAACATGGAGATTTGATCAAAACATGCAATCTAACCTCAGCGGATGTGGTGTGTCTGTCGTGGGAAAAAGGCTGAAACATCCAGTCTCACCGGCCAAGCCTATGGCATTGTTAGGTATAATGTCAACCCTGGATTAATAAACCCCTAGGCTGTCTAATTGGGAGGGTACCATTTAAGTATTAGATTATGGCTACTAGAGGAGTACCCCCCCTAATTAACAAACCATGGTTTTAATTTATCCGGGGTTGACATTATAGATGTTAGTAATAATGGCATAAAATCAAATTGTATAGATTCTATGGATGGTATACCACTATTGATATATAATGATATATATATATACCAGATGGTAGATATGTATATGATATATAGTTACTATATATCATGCTATAAACCTCTATTGGGGATAGCGGCTATTATATTGAGCTTGCCACGTTGTTCACCATGATTCACTGCAGGTTGACACCAGCACCAGATGTCCTGTGACCGGCAAGAAATTGAAGGTCAAGGACCTTCGCGCCAAGCCCGTGCAGCTCGTTTTTTTTTTGTTCACCCAGCGGAATATCATGGAATATCCATAAGTGGTTGGTGGTTTGGAACATTTTATTTTTCCATAATATATGGGATAATAGTGGTTATATCAGTATAACCCAGTTGTATATGGAACTACTGCTGATTGGTGGTTTGGAAGTTTTTTCATTTTTCCATATATTGAGAATAATCATCCCAACTGACTTCATATTTTTCAGAGGGGTAGGTAGGCTCAACCACCAAGCAGATACTGTAATTGTTGCTAAATATCTGAAATGAACAGAAACTAAAGATTCAACCTCCAAGTCTTGCGACATGGATCAAGATATATCAAAATATCTTCAGATTATATAGATATTCAACCATTACATATATTCACCTCAGGTTACATTATATCATGGTTCACCATGGTTTGCAAACATGAAGAGTGTACAGTAGTTTTTGCTGAGACATGCTCATCGATGCTCATCGAATCTGGGTTGATTGACCCATCGCCACAGTAGCAAATTTTCCGGGGTGTTCCCTCGATGGACCTCGAACATCCTGAGATTCATGTGAGAAACCTGGAGCTCCAGCTTAGGTCAGGCCACTGTTGTGATTTTCATAGACGTCCAACTTGTAGGTTAATATTTTGGGTAACCTCATTTTGGGTAACCTCCATTTACCGTTCTGGTGATGGCAAATGGTAAGCCAGTGGCCCCAGACATTCCCAAGAATCTCACCCATCATTTCCCCAAATGTTTTTTGTAATAGATACCCTTTGGGAATCCAACATTTTGCCATGGAAAATGGCCATGTTATAGCTGCTGGGTTTTTACCAGGTTTTTTGTTCATCTACTTTCATGGGCAACCAGGTCCATGGCAAAGTGTTTAAAAAACACCAGAGGATCTCTCAAACAATCTCCCTTCATGGATTTCTTGAGGAAAAATCGGACAATAAAACTTGCTTACCCCCCAAAAAAAATATCTGGGATCTTCCTCTATCCTTTTTTTCCTTCAACTTTGGTATAGCCAAACCCTGGTTGTCCCGGTCGACGTTGAGAAGTTGAGGACCTCATCTCGGTGAAGATGGATGTGGCGGATCAGAAACTCCTGGATCAGGGGGGTGGTTCGGGACGCCCAGCGCTGTGACACCTGGGTTCAATCCGGAAAATGTTGGGAAATTAGTATATATATATATTTATAAATATGACATCAGCCAATCTATAGTATATTCAGAATATTGAACATCCCATGTTTTTGTAGATTTCTAGACATCTTTCAGACATATTCCATGAACGACTGTTGACCCGTCCAGGACTGGTGATCCTCCAAAAAGATAGACATGTACAACGTTATCACTATTCAGTTGGATTTACATGATTTTCACCACTATAAAATCACTATTTATATAGGGGAATTTTACCATGATTTTACAAGATTTTTCTTTCTATCTTTTAGGGACTTACTAATTTACTAGAAGTGTGTCAACAAAAATAAAGCTCTGGATGATGTGAATTGCTCATTGGATTGACAAAGGGTTGAGACAAGAAAAACTGACCGATGGCACAACAGCTGAAGGTTTTTTAGCGCCATAGCTATCCAGTGGTGAATGGAGGGATCGGTTCGAAGCCCATGGGTATCCGGTAAATCAGACAGCAACTGAAAATCCCCGAACTAAATGGAGGCTTCAATGGGAAAACCAACTGTCTCTGGTTGGTGGTTTGGAACATTTCTTATTTTCCCATAATATATGGAATAATCATCCCAACTGACTTCATATTTTTCAGAGGGGTAGGTATACCACCGACCAGGTATATAAATGGTGGATTTTCCAGCAAGCCATGTGTTTGATGTGTGGTTCCCAGAGGGTATCCCGGATGGTTCCGATGAGTTCTGATGATTCAGATGCACAAAAAATGCCTACCATAGCTACCTTTTTCATGAGCTCAAGGAGCTCAAAAGATTGGCTTGGAACATGATCAATTCATGTTGGGCAAGACCTTCTCCTGACCTTCTCCTGGTTGCTGATTTCAAAGATTTGCTTTATGTTCTGTTCTTGAAAATGGAATGAGGGTCTTCAATTGACTTTTACTTCGTTGCAACAAGATTCAAGAAAACAACCAGCCAATTTCCATGGCTAAATGGCTCTTATGGGATTTATCGAGTTGTTTATATTTGCGTTATGATGTCATATTCCCATCTTGCCCATGTGAAATCCGCTGTGCCTTTTGGTGTCCTTGCTGCAATACATTGTTGGCGTCCTGAAAAAGTATGCCATGGTCAAAAGTTGGCCTAAACTAAGCATATGGTCTATAGGGCCTAGGGGCCATTCCGGGGATATCATATGTTATAAATATCTAATATTAATCAGTATTGCTGGATGTATATAATATATATATATATACCCATGATGTTCCTATGAAAAATACCCATAAGATATCCCTAATTAGTGTTGCAGCACGACCAGTTGGCGCCAAGGCAAAGGCGTGTTCTGCTGTGCCGTCTCCAAGAACCCCATTGTTTTCCAGCAGGCACCGGTGAAAAAAGCGACTTTTGCTGCCTACCAAAGGCAGTTTCTATGTGAATTTTGGTTAAATAACCATAAATAACATTAAGTAATATTAAGTAACCATTGTATACATTGACATCATTTGACATCCCAGTTTGTTTCTGTCGAACCAATTGCCAGTCTGTCATTTACTGTCCTTACCTAAAATCTAGCATTAAACAGTTGTTTAAACAGTTAGAGTGGAAGTTTTTTCTTTTGGAATGACTGTATAACTGGATGTAATTGGTGATTCAATCATTAATAAGTAATTATCAAGTAATTACCAATCACTACTGAGTAATTACCAATTGAATTCACCAATTCATGTTGCATAATCATTACATGGCTATTGGATAATTATTACAATTATTGAATCACCAATTATGTTCATGTAATGACTGTATAATTACTTATATTTAGTCATAACATACAATGTGAGGGCCCCAAGATAGCTAAATTGGTTTATAACTCCAATAACTATGGTTTATGGTACGCAAATAACTATAGTTACTGGGGCTTATAAACCAACTTATAACTGGGGGGCCTCACATTGTAACTATGGAAAATCACCATTTTTCTTGGGTCAATCACCAATTTGACTCATCAATTCCTGGCTCACCCAACCGCAGGCGCTGCTGTTGAAACCCAGCGGCGTTGGGGTGGCCCAGATGGCCCGTTCATCGTTCATCGCCAGCTGTCAGCCTGGGACAGCTATGTATAAAGCCATGGCTAGGCCAAAGAATGGGATTTAATGGTGAATTAATGGTGAATTAATGGGATTTTAATGGTTATTAATGGTTATTAATGGTGCTATTAATGGTTTAACAATGGCTCAACAATGGCTTAACAATGGTGAATAATTGGATATGTTTATGGGATTTACGTAGCCTCTGGTCATTTGTGAAACAGTTTTTTAATTGAAGCCATGTTTCAGCTATGTTAGTTTACCGGTAAGTTTCAAAGCTGATTTAGTGGGGTGTGTTTGGTGTGTTTTGTTTCCCACAATGATCATTGTTCTTGTGTGGATATCTCAAACTGGTTGGGATGGGGTTAAGGCAACCAACATAAGGACACCTTGGATGACAGATGGCTTCACCTGGCAGTCTGGCAAGGTTTAACCAAAGATGTATAGCAATTAGTAACAATTAGCATAGGACATCATACTGGAAAGCTGCATAAACATCATAAACCTTGGATGAGTAGATTAAACATCATAAACATCACAAACTAGTGAACATATTTTGCTGATGGATGGGGATACCAACCATAAATCTATTTGTCACGGTAACGACTGTCCATGTGATGTAAGATTTACCACCGCACAAGGTGGATATGTTCTTACCAAACTGCGGATATTCAATTTGACCCGTATACACATCAATGAGGATAATTACCCATGATTGGCATAGGGATGAATATCATTATTTGGGCCTATCATGAGTGGCCTAGATTTGGCATATTGCTGCGATTCTGTTCCAGGACTTCCATTCTGACATAAGGATAATATGCTTTGTCTCTTGAGAACTTCATACAATGAAGTCTTGCAAACAACTCGGGAGGATACTTCCAATCTTCGAGTGCTGAACAGATGCAATCATTATCTTTTACATTTACTGTACTATGGCTGAGATAGGCTGAAAAAAAGAAACATGAAATGATACGAAAAAATCACATCCTAACCATGCAGTTTTTTTCTTTTTAAGATCCGGCATGACGAGCTCATCGTTGTTTTTAGACATCGCTATCATCGCTCAGGTGGTGATCTTAGAAAGTGTCTGGAAAGACATCGTGAGCAAAGAGATGAAGTGCCCAGCTGCTTGACCAAACATGGCAGAGCAGGTCCCTAAAAGGTGATGATTTTGTGTACTAAGATATAGTGGTTAATGGTATATTAATGGGAATAACATATATATTATATGAATAAAAACAGTGGCATATCTATGAATAAATATATTAATGGGAATACATATTGATGTATATACTATATATATATGAATAAATATAGTGGTATAATCATATCCCACGTTTATTCATGATAGATGATCATACAGGTATCATCATTTATCACCATAGCATGAGGAAGTGAGATTTACAAACCATTTGCAAATACCCTCCAGAAAGCAGCTTCGTAGCTTGCTGGAAAATCATTCATTTTATTGTTGATGTTACCAGCGAACTAAGCCTTCAATTAGTGTGGGGATGTCCAATTGCTATGTTTTACCGGGGGGTAACAGTCAGAAAGGTATCATTATACTATATCGTTATCACATTTGGTGGATCCCCAAGTCACCACGGGTCTTGGATGATTTGGGGGTGCCCCCATTTTAGGAAACCTCCATATACACTCTGGTAAACTAACATATACTAACAGAGCAAACTGGAAAATCACCCTTTTAACAAGGTACATCATCGGAACTCAATTGGCAATTTTCATCAATTTCCAGTAGTTATGTTGGGCTAAACCAGAGGATCTTCCCAGCAAAAATCCACATAAAATCTCCCCCATGATCCCATCCTTACGATGTTTTCTGTGGTTTTTTTGGGTCCAGTTGTTGAAGCGTTCGGGTAGGATCTGATGGTGAAAAAACATGCTATGGAGCCATGTGTTTTTCAGTCCTGTGAATCCTCAGTTGAAGTGATATATTTTGGAACAAGATAGTGACACTCTGTAGCTGATTTCTTGCGCCCCACTTCAAAGGGGCTTAGGATTTAGGGGGATGTACAATGATGTACAGTCGTCTCACAATATATATATATATATATATAGAAAGTGCTGTAAGGCACCATGTTTTTTTGCCGGTTTCTGCTATCCTTTTTCTTTGTTGCTGGGGTGCTACAGAAAAAGCAGCTGTCGCTTGGCTCAGGTGACTGGAAAGAAGCTGAAAGGTGAGGAGGCCGCATCTGACGAGAAAGTGTACCCTTTAGAAACTGATAGTAACTTACGGATTGATACTTAACTTGAGGATGCAGTTTCACCGAGTTGTAGGGCTTATATCATGGAGTTATATCCCAATTATTGTGGTTTGAATCCCATAGCTATACCCATCTTTCCACCCCAGCTGCACCCCCATTGATTCTTGGGTAATTATTCACGTGAAAATGGACACTGAACCATTTAGTTAGTACACGGAAAGCTAAGCTTAGTTCGGGGATTTCCCAGCCAAACATATTCGATTCCCGGAGGGTAAGATGCAACATTCGATGAAGATTCCATGACTATCCCTTTATTATATCATGAAATCTTAGTAAAGCAATGTCATAAACCCATCATAAACCCATCATAAACCTATCATAAACCCATCATAAATGGATGGTTCGAATCTCACCCATAAAAATGGATGGCCAACTTATAACTTGGGGATGGTGGAAATTCATGGACATCCGGAAAGCTCACGACATGGCCGTGGCCTATTTTTGCTGGGTGAATCCCTATTTTTTGGGTGCAAAATCCATGGCCCATGGCTTTCCATGCGCTTCGCGACTGAGGACATCCTGAAGCTCACGACTGGTGGATCAGGATTTAGCGCCCACAACGATGTGGAAGCGAAGGCAAAATGTAGGGGATATGTAGGGGATGAGCGGGCGTTTTTGAAAAGGGGTGGTTGTTTTGAAGATGATACCTATTTTTAAAAAAATGGGAAAGTATGGAACTTACGGAAAATAATGATTTTGACTAGGGAAATCTAACAAAAAGTATGGGAAATGATGGAAAGTCACGATTTTGAATAGGTAAATCATCAAACTAAGTGGGCCATTTTGATCAGAAAGAGTACGGCACACCTCAGCCTTGGAGCACGCCATGGTCACGTCGAGCTCCAGCAACGCACGGTTCGACATGCCTCTTTTTGGGCATAATATTCCCCAAAGCAAGAAACTCCCCAGTAACAATTGAATCATAAACATCAATAAACTAGTGATGATTTAGCCATGGTATAGCCAGCAAAAAAACAACCATGATATGGCCATTACACAACCATGATATAGCCATCATTCTGAAAGGATCTTTAAAGGTAGGCCAAAGCTGCTGGGCGAGATGGGTCTTAATCCCTGACCTTACACACATATCCCCAAATGAAGGCGTTGAAATGTGGGGAACAAAAACATGGAACATCACCTCGACAGGAATAAAAAATGGAAAACTCATCTGTAAATAGGGGGAAAAATCCAGCTAGCCAGGTTTGATTAGAGGGTGAAGATGTCATTGAATCATATTTAATCTGCATCTGTGAAAAGGCCATCCCAATGTCTCATATCTGGAACCCTGTTGTGATCCTCTAACTCTTGGCAGCCTTGGTTGAATCCCAGAGTCGGTCAACTCTCCGATTCAATTGGTTAAACTGAAGTGAATTGTGCCCACACATGACATTTATCGGAGATTATATCTGGTTGGTGGTTTGGACCATTTTTTATTTTTCCATATATTGGGAATAATAATCCCAACTGACTAATATTTTTCAGAGGGGTAGGTATACCACCAACCAGATATATAATTTGTATATAGGAGTATATTGTCAAAATTACCCCCACAAGTGACCAATTAGTTCTACCAAAAAAAATATGCCCATCCGCAAAGTGGATGAAATTCACCCTCGGTTGGCGTTGTCAAACATGTTATTTTCAACCCTATTTGTTATGATAATCCCAACTGGTTACTAAGTTCAAGAATGGTCAATGATTTTCCGTATGTCAAGTTGATATCCAAGTATATGTTTCATGATATCCCATTATACAAAACTATATATCTCCCTATGCTTCCCATTGAAATCACCATGAAATCTTCGGCCACGCTTCGGCGTCAACGGATGCGTCAGTCCTTCTCCATGATCCGCAGCTTCACGGGCGACAACCGCACGCAGCAAGGGCATCTGCCCAGCGCCTGGGATACAACGGCGAGGTGGCGATGGGTCAACAGCCCCAAGAAGTGGATGTTTAATACATGTTAATACTGTACATATATTAACATTTATAGTTTTAACTAACATCTACTAACATCTAGAAGTGGATGGTTAATACATCTGGTTGGTGGTTTGGAACATGTTGAACATGTTCCCTGCACCCCCCTAATTAGTTCGCCCACTGGAAACAACAACACATCCAAACAATATGATATACTTATCACCAGAGGATCAATGAAAACACTGGCTATACGCAGTGATTTTGACTTCAAGTTCTCATGATTTAGGGTTTCAATTTAGGGTTTAGGGTTTTAGGTTTTAGGGTTTTAGGGTTTACCGTGTTTGTTGTTTTGGAAAGTAAAAAAACTCTAACCCTGCGCATGTCAAAGGATATGCGGGATTGGCCGCGGGCTCACTGAGGGGCTGCAGCGAACATGTTTTATTTTTCCATATATTGGGAATAGTAACCCCAACTGACTAATATTTTTCGGACGGGTAGGTATACCACCAATCAGTCTTAATACTGTACATATATTAACATTTATAGTTTTAACTAACATCTATTAACATCTAGAAATGGATAGTTAACTATAGATGTTAATAGTAAAAAAAAACTGAAAGATACTAACATCATCTAACATCTATAGTTTTGCTGGGTCTCACATATTGATCCATTCCTAGATGTTTGTCTGGAATCAAATTGTTGTTCATTAGTTGATAGATTTATACCATTTTATACCTATAAAATCCAGAATGTTATGGAATATTGTAGATCATGATTATTATCTACAAGTTGCATCAATTTGCAATATAACTATTAGTTTGTTGGTGTGAATTCGTTAGTTCCACCCGATTGATCATAGTATATTACAGATATATAATCCATAAAACCTGGCTATTGAACTTAGAAACCATCTTGGCTACTAAGGTAGGGGTCCTACCTTTTTTTTTGCGCTCCTCAAACCTGGGGAGTGATTTTTCTAACATATTCCAATACCATGGTCAATATACATGATAATGATTATACATTGAACAACTATACACAATCTTAACATGAACATAAGATATATGATATATACATATATATATGTTAAGAACTAGCATGGTTATCCATCTTCATATACTTTTATATGATTCTTAACTCGCTTGGGGAGTTAAAGATGATTAAATTTCTAACCACAGGAGGATGGCCAGAGACTGGTCAGTGATGCGATGCCGGATGGTGAAGAATTTAGCGCATAACTGGGTACCCCCAATAGCTGGATGGATGGTTTATTTCATGGATGTGTTTTATTCACATGGATGATTTAGGGATGTTTGTAATGGAAAATCCCATTCAAATGGATGATTTAGGGATACCATGGATACTCCCATTTCAGGAAACCCACCAATATCATGTGAGAAATAGTAGAAACCCCATCAGAAACTCTGCCATTGACGAAATCTTGGATGGGTTGCTCTTGGGGTATCCCAACCCCCTATTTTTCCAAGATCTTCCCCCTGCCAGTGATTATGACCCTGCCAAGGAGCTGGCTTTGCTGGATTACACTAGATGTGGAGGTGCCTTTTGGTTCACAAATCTTGCTGACCCCTTTGGCAGTGACCAATCACTGGTGAAAATTCGGGAATGTTGATGTTGCCCTTACAAGGTCTTACCGTACTATATATTAATTTATAATAATATATATATATATATCATGCAAACATGGAAGATGATCTTATTGTTCTTGCGCACTCTTTTGCATGCAATGTTCTCCACTTGTCGTTACTTAGATACAGTAGTTCCCTTGCAGTTTCTATCCAGATTCGTTGAGGGGAGCAATGGGGCAATCAGGCTGTCGTCTTCTTGGTTATCCCCTCTCCAACTAATATACACACTGCCAACTAGGGCTGGGAAGATTACTGTCCTCTAAAGATTGGTGGTTCTCAGGGTCTGTGTTAGTTGGGGGGATGGTAATATCCCATTAGAACCCACTTTATCACCATGAAACCATCATATTCAGTGCTTAAACCTGGTCGAACCCCATTTGTTGATGGTTGAAACTATCATGTTTGTCCATTTCCATGGCTTTAGAAATATGTTCGTCCATTTGCTCCATGGTAAATCCCCAACTTCCCCCCACTGCGCCAATGTCAGGCTCCACTGCTGCGTGCCCACGGGCCGTGGCCGCAAATGAACCGCTGGGTAGTGATACCCAGCAGCTCTTTTTGGCTGCAGTGCCAAAAAAAACGGAGCAGCGCCGCTGGGTGGTGGTTGGTGCCCAAAATCTTGACGCCCAGAATGGTATCCTCTGGTTATTTAACATAGCCATGGAAGCCATGGCCCATAGAAATAGATGGTTTACCTATTAATAGCATGGTGATTTTCCATGGCTATGTTAAATAACCAGATGGTATAGAAGGTGATTTAACCAGCAAAAATGGTGATCAACCAACAAGAATGCTTATGAAATCATATAATAAATGGGTGCAATGAAATTAGTCTCTTGCAAAGAAACGGTTATATATTGAAGCCAAACGTTACACAATTCACAAATATCAAGTTGCAAGTAATGCCATTCCTGAAAATGAAACATTGGCCATTTGGGATTATCGGATTTGACTCCCTCAAAGATAGTGACTCAACCAACAACACTGGTGTTTTTTTTGGGGGACAGTATGGGGATACAGTCTGGATTCAAAGTATTCAACTTGACCGTACTGGACCCCAAAACAGTGGGAAGATCTGAGTGGATATCTTTGGCAAATATCTGAAATTCATAGAAAAAACTAAACTCTTATATATCCTCTGGTAAACTAACATAGCTATGGAAAATTGCCATTTATAGTGGATTTACCCATTGAAAATGGTGGTTTTCCATAGCTATGTTAGTTTACCAGAGGGTACATATCTGATTTTTTGAAGGTTGAACATGGATCAGGAAACGGTGGCAACCAAAAAAACACCCGGCCTCCGAAAAATCTCTCCGGAAGCCATGGCGCACAAAAAGTTCGATGATCTACCATTGATTTTGCCTTCTTAGTGGTGATTTGTTTCCATAGTTATGGCATGTTATGGCTACATTTCCAGGGGAATCTATAACCATACGTAACCATAGATCATAGATCAGTGGTAATTTAGGTCGATTTTTCATAGTTGAAATATGTTGAATTACCAGGGGATCCCAGGGGAGTGATTCATGGAGGACTCCAGGTGGTTCCTGAAAAATCACAATCTAATAGCTGGATGAGAACTGGGGGGGAACCCCATTTTAGGAAATCTTCATATGATGGAGGATTCTATTGGATTAGATGACATATAGATGACATATATCTTAATAAATTACAAGTAGTATAGGGAACCATTTGAACATCGCCATATTTCAGTTTCGTGTATGGTTATGATGATTTTGTCCGAAGATTGATAACATATTCTCCACAATTTGCAGGATCTTGGGCAAAGCTGTTTTTTTGTTGAAGCTTTGCCAAGATCAGGTTTCTTACCCTTTGGTAATTTAACATAGCTATGGAGGATCACAATTTTTAATGGGAAAACTCACTATAAATGGCCATTTTCAATAGCTATGTTAGTTTACCAGAGGGTAATGTTTCTCCATGTTTTTTTTTCCATGCACCGCTGCTATGAAACACAGAAACGTCTCTATGGGTTCGGCCTGTCAGATTGGGTTTGGCTGCCCCAGTTGGGCGGATGCAATGGGGGATAGGATGGTCTATATGGGTGGTTTATGACATTGCTTTACTAGCATTAAAATTAGATGCAACTCATGGTACTCTTCAAATTAACAATTCTTAAATTAACATAACTTAGCAATGGAAAATGGATGATTTGGCTTTTCAAATCCGTGTTTTTCAATAGCTATATGATATAGCTTACGAGAGGGTGTATACGTGTATACCTCAGCCTTATACATGGTATAACTTTGGAGCAATGATCAGCCAGAAAATGAGCTGAATATGTCATATAATGTTATATAGCCATAACAACTATAGTCTCTGGGATCGGGATGGTGTGGGTTGTCACAAAAGGGTTGGAAGCACAGTGCCCGACAATGTCGGGTCAAAAACAGCTGCCTTGACACCTTTGGTCAGATCCAGGTTCAGAAAATACTTACCCTCTGGTAAACTAACATAGCTATTGAAGCTATTGAAAATGGCCATAGAAATCGTTGATTTACCTGTTCAAGGTGGTGATTTTCCATAGTTTTGTGTATGTTTACCAGAGGGTAGATTTTTGGGAACTCAAGATTTAGATCCAAACGGTTTGGGGTTGTCCTATGTTCAATGGGAAACATTATGACCGAAAAGAGGCACTGCGACCAGCAAAAAGGATAATAACATATGATAACATATAATAACCAGCAACGTCAATCCATGGAACATCGCTGATTTCCCACTTGAAAGTGATGGAAAGCCGCAGGAACGGGGCAAATTATAACATAAAAACCAGCCCCGTCTTACTCTAACTACAGATATGATGTATCAATTTGTATCCACGATAAATTCGAGTTAGCCTAGTCATAAACTAAGTCAGCCAACTAGGGAGCCCCGTCCTGTATCTATACGATGAGTGCATATATATATATATTTTTTTTTTCCCTCAAGGCCCAAAGGAGCGTAAGCTGCGGCCTAGCATAAATTCTGGAAAATGGTGACAAAGCCTCTATGTGGCGAAATCCGGACCAGCATAGTGTCCCATGTCAGACACAATCATGTCCTGTGCAAGTCGACGGAAATTCTCATCAGGCGTCACCGTGAAATCAATAGGGTGCTCCTGCAAGGTCTGTACGTACGAACCCTCCCGCTATATATATATATTGCCATGAGTACTGGAGGATGCTCCTATAATATACGACTTCAAGACTTGACTAAGATGTGAGTCATAGATGATATTAGTACCTTTTCTGGCAGGTGATTTAGAAACATATTAGGTGATAAACATCCAAGGATTAAGATCCAATATCGTTTTTAATTATTGGAAAGAAGTTGAAGAGGAGGGCATATACTGTTCCACATATTTTGTTTGGATCATGTCGGCCAAGCATTTGGTGACATTAGGAAGTGATTTTCACGGAGTTTGTTTGAGTACTGCGAGTAACGTTCATCTCAAGATTGGTCCAAAGTCTCATGGATCATCGCCTCATGAAAAACTCATCATTCTGGGATCTGAAAAATGTTAGTGGAAAATCACCATAGAAATAGTGGATTTACCCATTAATAGCATGGTGATCTCCCATTATCTATATCTGGTTGGTGGTTTCAAACATGAAGTTTATTTTCCATTTCATATATGGGATGTCATCCTTCCCATTGACGAACTTATATTTTTCAGAGAGGTAGGTATACCACCAACCAGAATATTGTCAGGCACGTGCCATGGGTCTGGAAATTTCAGAGAATGCCCGGATATGACCGCATAGCTGGGTTGAAAACACCATTGGCACCCATGTGATTGGCATTGGCATGGGGATGTAGCAGCATTTTATGGCTGGTCAATTCGAAGAATGACTTAATACTGGAACCAAACACATTGTCAATACTCTCTGGTAAACTAACATAACTATTGAAAATCACCACTTTGAATAGGTAAATCAACGAACTAAATGGGCCATCTAAACTAAACCGTAGCAAACTGTTCAATTACCACAGGCTAATCATACCGTGGAAAGTATATTTCTCAGTCCTCCAGAGACACGCAGCTAGGTCCAACACAGGGGTGGGGTTTGGGTCAAAGCCTAGGGACCCTATCTTTGACATCAAAATAGCTGGTTGCTCATAGATGTTCATCCTTGCAATGGTATCATGGGCTTTGATCCATCACACTTGATCAAAATATATCAAAATACTTCATACTGTGGAGAATGCGTGGTGTAGAAAGTATATTTGGTAGCCATTGGCAGCTAACATGGGTGGGATATGGTGGGATTGTTAATCTAGAACTACTTGCATAACTCTACGCGTATTCATGACATCATGACCCCCCTTTTTTGGGCTCAGACTGTTTGGGTAGAAAATTGTCATGCCATTGATGTTTCTTACCTATGGTGCGTTCGTTGATGGCAAGAAATTATGCAGGCAGAATATTTGAAATATTGGAGTAGTTTGTGCTGTGTTTCATCAGATCTTTCTTCAGTTACCTGAAAACATCTTACACATTTGAACATGTCACGCACTACAGGTTGTTTGCATCTAACCGCCAATGCCGCCTCATGGAGGTGTGTTTCCTGTCAGGTGAGACTCGGGCAACCCTTGCCCCGGATGAATTCGAAGGAAAAACTGCAAAGGCTGTAAAGCAAGCATTGGCAGCTCAGATTGGTGTCACTCGATTCAGACAACGACTTTACTCCAAAGATGGTTCTGAGATCCCGGATGATGAGGCTTTTGCTTCCGCTCCAGTGAAGCTTCAGATGGTGGTCTTGGACTTTTATGCTGATGTCCAACGAAACCAACAAGTGATCTCTGCATCTATGGACAATGATTTGATCGCCCTGGAAAAGTTCCTTAATAGCCCTTGCGATCCCAATGTCACGGATGAACATGGTTACGCGCCATTGCACTATGCTGCCAGGAGCGGACATGTTGAAACATTGCTGCTGCTGTTTGAGGCGGGTGCTGAAAAAAACCCGCCAGGTGGAGGAAATGAAAGGATGACACCACTGCATTGGGCAGCTGAGCAGGGACATTTTGATGTTGTCCGTCATTTGATGGAAGTTGGTGCTGACAAAGATCGAGCCAACAATCAGGGTGCAACACCATTGTACATCGCAGCTCAGAACGGCCATCTTGATGTTGTTTGTCATTTGGTGGAAGTTGGTGCCGACAAAGATCAAGCCCTCAATAGCGGTGCAACGCCATTGTTCATTGCAGCTCAGAAAGGCCATCTTGATATTGTCCGTCATTTGGTTGAAGTTGGTGCTGACAAAGATCGAGCCAACAATCAGGGTGCAACACCATTGTACATCGCAGCTCAGAACGGCCATCTTGATGTTGTCCGTTATTTGGTGGAAGTTGGTGCTGACAAAGATCAAGCCAGCAATCAGGGTGTGACGCCATTGTACATCGCAGCTCAGGAAGGCCATCTTGATGTTGTCTGTCATTTGGTGGAAGTTGGTGCCGACAAAGATCAGGCCCTCAATAGCGGTGCGACGCCATTGTTCGTTGCAGCCCATCAAGGCCATCTTGATGTTGTCCGTCATTTAGTGGAAGTTGGTGCTGACAAAGATCGAGCC